CGGGGTTGCGAGTGCTCATTGTTTCATGGGACAATAACCCGCTGCTCGTAATAAAAACCTACGCGACAAGTGTGCGAAAGCGTGGCGAGGGTAAAGGAGTCGCAAAGAAAAAGAGATGCAGAAAAAAAGAGCAGAATCGAGTAAAATAGAAAATAAAAAAAGAAGAGATATATATAAATTAATCTACACACAGAGAGAATTTTCTCTTCAAATTTACCTTGAAAATCATGCTAATCGTGGGACAATATGGAAGAATTTTAAAAGAGTTTTTCTGTGATTAATATTTACCAGAATAAAAATATTAATATCTACCACAATAAGATATAAAATATACTCGATTAATTTTACTATGTACATGGTACATATTAATATTTTTTATTGTGGTAAATATTAATCAGAAAAACTCTTATAAAATTCTTCCAACACCATATATTATCCCACGACTCCCATGATTTTCAGGATAAATTCTAAGAGAAAATTCTCTCCGTGCGCAAACTTGTAAATACCATTTCTAATATAAAAAACAAAAATTTGTCGCATAGAAAAAAAATTCAATATAAAAAACAATAAATTTCCAGATAGGGAGAGAAAATAAAAAAAGATGAGAAGAAGAATAAATGCAAAGGAAACATGGTACATATTAATATTTTTTATTGTGGTAAATATTAATCAGAAAAACTCTTATAAAATTCTTCCAACACCATATATTATCCCACGACTCCCATGATTTTCAGGATAAATTCTAAGAGAAAATTCTCTTCGTGCGCAAACTTGTAAATACAATTTCTAATATAAAAAACAAAAATATGTCGCATAGAAAAAAAATTCAATATAAAAAACAATAAATTTCCAGATAGGGAGAGAGAATAAAAAAAGGCGAGAAGAAGAATAAAAAGCAAACTTGTAAATACCATTTCTAATATAAAAAACGAAAATATGTCGTATATATAGAAAAAAAATTATTCAATAAAATAAAAAACAATAAATTTCCAGATAGGGAGAGAGAATAAAAAAAGGCGAGAAGAAGAATAAAAGCAAACTTGTAAATACAATTTCTAATATAAAAAATAAAAATATGTCGTATATATAGAAAAAAAATTATTCAATATAAAAAACAATAAATTTCCAGATAGGGAGAGAGAATAAAAAAAGGTGAGAAGAAGAATAAAAGCAAAGGAAACAAAGAAAGGAGAGAAGACGCGGATCATGTAGAGGGTGGAGGCGCATACAAAGACTGCGCAAAACACACAAACAGCGTATTACAATAATGGCCGTGCGTGTTGTACAAATACGATATCGGCTTGAAGGGTCCGTCGCGCAAGCACGTGACCCTCTCAAAGGGCTCGTAGCGTAACGAACACCCCCGACGGAGAGGCCCCCCATTGGGGGCGCTCGTGTTCCGCGACCAGTTAGCGGGGTTAAACTTACAACCCCGCGGCTAACACGCTTGTGCCGACCCCCGCGAGAGAGTTGGCTTTTTTCCCATTTTTTTTTTGCCACTCGCGACGATCGCTCGACGATAATTCTATCCGCGTTTTCCACGTTTTCGGGGAACGAACATTTTATAGCTCACGTTGCGCCATTGTAGCCCGAGCCTTCATTAGAGAGACGAGTTGGGAAATTTAAGTTGATAATGACGTTGCGACGCGATAATGAATTTCCGCAGAGCGAAATTTTAAATAATTCACCCTATTTTAGATTATTTTTTTACTATTATATTATTTTTCTACTTGTAGAATATATATATATATATATATATAAGAAGGTTATTGAAGAAAAGATAGTGATTGATTTTTTTAGAAAAAAATTAAACAAGAATGTTATGTGGCGGTATTCGTTAATTAGAGATTGTTTCGCGAGTTTCGATTACGAAATTAAATTCTTGCGAGATGCTTGATTCCTTCCAAATTAAATCTTTCCTAATAAAGAAATTATTTACTCTACACTTACACAACTGACATCAAACTTTCTAGATCCCGGAAATTCTTGAAATATTGATATCACGCAACCTCTTGCCGATAATTTTCCTCGATCTCCATTATATTCGGAATCTCAGTCGATCGCGGTCTACGATTTAATCCCAAATACCGCCTTCGCAACGGCACGATAATTAATATCCCGACGACGTGCTCGCATGGGAAAATTTCATGAGCCGTACGTGGGCGAGCATATCCGCTCTCATTAACGATCCTCGCCCTTTATCGTCCCGAGGGTCTCTCTCTCTTTTTTTTTTTTTTTTTTACGCAAGATTTCCATAATAAAAAGAAACTCGCCACGATATCGACGACGTCGATATGTTTCGCACAGTTTGCGATCGCGCTAAGGGAGTGACGACGATTCGAATGAACCAGCAGGGGCGTGTAATGGAGGGTGTATATTTCGGAAACTATTACGGGCACGTTCTCTGTTTTGGCACGTGCCCTCGCAAGCTGTAAATCGCCTCCATATACGTTTCTCATAAGTTTATAGCCGCAAATTATGAGATAGTCAGAAAATGGTGCAGCGCTACTTTAGTAGTTCTACAATAAATTTATTTATCGTTATTTACCTTATTTAAATTTGCCATAGAATAGAAAAATTGTCTGTTGTGGAAAATTTTCAAAATAAAATAAAATAAAATAAAATAAAATAAAATAAATAAAATAAAATAAAATAAATAAATAAATAAAATAAAAGTAATAACTATAAGTTTAAGTGCCCTCGCAAGCTGTAAATCGCCTCCATATACGTTTCTCATAAGTTTATAGCCGCAAATTATGAGATAGTCAGAAAATGGTGCAGCGCTACTTTAGTAGTTCTACAATAAATTTATTTATCGTTATTTACCTTATTTAAATTTGCCATAGAATAGAAAAATTGCTTGTTGTGGAAAATTTTCAAAATAAAATGAAATAAAATAAAATAAAATAAATGAATAAAATAAAATAAATGAAATAGTAATAACTATAAGTTTAAGTGCCCTCGCAAGCTGTAAATCGCCTCCACATACGTTTCTCATAAGTTTATAGCCGCAAATTACGGGATAGCACAGTCAGAAAATGGTGCAGCTACTTTAGTAGTTCTACAATAAATTTATTTATCGATATTTACCTTATTTAAATTTGCCATAGAATAGAAAAATTGCTTGTTGTGGAAAATTTTCAAAATAAAATGAAATAAAATAAAATAGAATAAAATAAAATAAAATAAATGAAATAGTAATAACTATAAGTTTATTGTAAGGAATTAATATTTTTTAAAATTTGGTAATATAATAAGCTCGAAGAAACTCGCTCTAATTTGCATAAAAAAAAGTTCGCCAAATTATAATATTTAAAGTTTAATTATGCGTCAATATTTTAAATTACGACTGCGCTTCGATTGCTGTCAGAATAACGGGGAGAAACACTTTGTCAGAGGCGAAGCCTGTATTTACACGCACTGACACAAAATTGACATGTGAAGCACACACTTGTGTTTGACAGGATAGTCTTCGATAAGTACGACACAAAGTCGAGGAAGGAACTATTATTATTCGAATATGCGCAGTTTCCATTTATGGAAAAATCGTTATAGGATAGCGCATGTGTCATTTAGTTTGATTCCTACTCAAAGAGATATAATCAATAAATTTTCAACATATCTTTCACAATCGATAAAAAATGTGTAGCTTATTATTCAAGCTGTCTTATTCTTTAAAGTAGAAGCAATTGAAATAATAAATAAATTTTGTACGTCACTTTTTGTTTGTCACGTGGTTGGTAGTTAAAAATTTGAAAGTATAAACTTCAGTGACAGATAACAGGAAAAGTCTGACTATAAAGAAATAAATATAAATACGACAATTGTATATGATTTATGCAGCATATGTAGAAGCTGCAATCTAATTGCATATATGCATCTGAACAATCTACGACGTGTAAATAAAAATATCTCACAAAATATTCTAACAGTAAAATCAATAATTTGAAGTTTAAAACATTTTCGTAATATGTTTAACTTTAAATTTCAATTTTTAAAAAATATTAATTTTGGTATTTCAAAAATCTCTACGTTAAAATTAACATTTATAGTATTTCACTTTCCCAATAAATTTATTTATTAGATCTATTCACGCTATAAATTGTTGCTGCTGTTTGAAGTAAGCAGCAAACAGTGGAACTTTAAGTCGAGGCGAAAGGCATCGACAGTAGATAACGATAAAAATAGGTTCTGTCGATCGGACACACCGGGTATATCATCAGTTAATATTTTGCGTGAGTACTAACTGATGATACACGGACAAATATCTGCTGATAAGTTACCTTCTTTTTAAACACCTTATACGAGAGAAATTCAATTATGTAGTATATATAATTTTAAATCAGATATAAGGAAATAAAGAATTATTTTTATGGCAAAAGCAAAACATTATTGTCATTTTTATAACAGCTGTTCAATCGTAAAAAATTGTTTAAAATTTTTTACGATATATAATATATATATATATATATATATATTTATTTTACGTTAAAAAATTTTAAACAATTTATATATATATATATATATATATATTTATTTATTTTACGTTAAAAAATTTTAAACAATTTTTACGATTGAACAGCTGTTATAAAAATGACAATAATGTTTGCTTTTGCCATAAAAATGATTCTTTATTTCCTTATATCTGATTTAAAATTATATATACTACATAATTGAATTTCTCTTATTGCTTTTTATTTAAAACGCTACCTCAGTCTGCGCGTATATATATATATATATATGAGGTAGCGTTTTAAATAAAAAGCAATAAGAGAAATCTCCCTCGCAAAGTACGATAGAAAAGTATTGAAAATCTTGGAAATATCTGAAAATACAGTACTTACACTTTGATCGCTGTCCCGTATTGTATCAGCCGCGTATAAATTCCCCGCCGTCGCGTTTCGAATACATCCTGAAACAAACAAACGGCAAGTTAAACAAATGCAAATAACATCTGGCATGTGGCCAATATCAGCGATCGATTTTGCGGACCGTGCGCGATGCCTTTCAAGAAATTCAGACCAAAGTTCTCTATTTACCAAGTTTGCGTAACTATCCTCGAGGCAAAACACTTGCCACAAAATGCGAATCCACTGGTTGTCGTTAAAGTCGGGAATCGCAAGAGAAGGACGGTGGTACGCGAGAAGACTGATAATCCTATTTATAACGAGGTGAAGTTATTCAATCTATCGACAATCTATATACTGAGTGATGTAAAAGTAAAACACGATAATACACGTTAATTACGCGTATTTTTCAAACATGCTTGAGATATTGTAAATCATAATTTTTAGCAGGTTCGAAAAATTTATTTATTTATTTATTTATTTATTTATTTTTTATTCATTTATTTATTTATTTATTCATTTATTTATTTATTTATTTATTTATTTATTTAAATTTATTCGAGATTTTATCAATATGCTTAGAATCTCTAATTTATGTCACTTTGTTGAGAAAAGAAAATATTTGTCTTTCATATATTGATATAAGTATGTAAAATACCCCTATTCTATTTACAAGTCAACTTTTGCCTTTTAAAATATTCAGTACTTCGTATTCGACTTCACGTGTAGTCTGGACAATCTGCTAAGTATGGGAATCACGATAGCAGTGTACCTGCGAAACTTTCTTCGGCGACTAAAGTTTCACGGAAACATTTCTTTTGAGGTTGCCACAGTATGGGAACAGCCAGGTTGCAAACAAGAATTAAATAAGAAATAACGAGAAAAATATTAGCTTTTTATAGTTTCATACATAATTTATTTTAAAGGAAATAATTTAAATTCCTGCAAGTAACAAGCAGTTTAACCAATTAAATTAAAGAAATTGAGAAATATAACAGTTTTGACAAACTAACAAATTTTGCTTTAGAAATAAAAATAGGAATTATATTTTTGAGATAAATTCGTCGAGAAGAATATGTCGTTTTAAATATTAAATGTGATATTTTTTTTATTTTTTGTAAACATACATTCTCTCTTGCTTGCAGATCGACAATATTTTCATAAATGGGCTGTGCTGACGGATCCGAAAGATCCATCGGCGAGGCCGAAAGGCTACGTAAAATGCAATATCACAGTGAACGCTAAGGGTGAGAAAGTAAAGGTGCATCCAGAAACGGAGGGTGAAGATGACATCGAAGGGTAATTCCTTTTCAATATATATGTATATAAAAAGGGAATATATATTATTGACATATACATATATAATTTATACCACTATCGGCCTCCTCATCAGAATTTTTATCGCTCTTACGCTGCAATATCGTGGGAATATATTTAAATAAACGTGGCAGGAATTTATTGCTGCCTATCGGGGGCGAAAGGCTGTCCTTCAGGCAACGCTTGCGTTACATTTTCATCGTTTATCGCGCCGACGGATTACCAGACATGAGCAGCTTGTGCAGAAAAAGCGATTTCGAGAACATTAATCCCTACGTGCAAATATCGTTCGCCGGAATGAAAGTACGCTGCAATTCATTACTCTGCTTTTTTGCCGTAAAAATTTTAAATTTCTCTCTCCGAGAGAGGATTAATATCATTATTTCATATAACAACGTTAGAGAATTTTTTTTTTTTTGTAAAACAAAAATATTATATAATACTTTTCTGTTAGGGATCGACCAGCGAAGAGTGGCAAATCTATTCTCCGAAGTTCCAGGAAGGTATCATTTTCAAGGAAATGTTTCCTGTTCTTTGTCACCGTGTACGAATCACTATAAAACACCGTATCGACAGTTGTCGGACGTGCATCGTAGCGGTTCATATCCTGGACATGACAAAGATCTCGAATTCCGGAGAGTACGGTGAGATTGCCAAGTATAATAGTTCATTGCCAAGAATGCAGGAAATATGGCGCACTTAATTTTGCCAAACAGATAATTGGTTTCAGTTGAAATATAGCATGACAAAAATGTATCTCTTTATCTCTCATTCGATAGTATCGATTTTGCTCAATTATTTGCATAATTTTACCATTCCTCTTATATACTATGTACTTCTTATACTTATATTCTTAGACAACGTCATGTCCGGATAATTATTTACGCGCATAAATAGATTTCTTTGAACTAGACCTGACCTAACTAAAGCTCAGAGAGATATATAAAATTAGAGTCAGGAAGTAATAACGTAAGAGCACGACGCTACATGCGACATTGATTGTGAAAGGCAAGGTTTGGCTTTCCAATAGGATTCTTGCCGACATATGGACCGTCTTTTATCCACTTTTACGGGTCCGACTCAGTGGAGAAGAACGGTTGTTCGGGTAGATGCTTGACGGCAATGCCTTTGTATCGCGGAAGAGTACTTCTGTCGTTGAAAACTGAAATGGATGACCCAGAAGCGTCCCCGGGAATCGGGGTTGAGACACTTTCGGCATTTCCCATTACCGAGGTGATTCAATTTGTAGTTGTTCTTTTTGTCTTCGCGATTGTTATTTTACCAGTTTCTCTTACATGGAAAACATATTTGTCGTCTCAGCAATTCTAATATTTATCATAATTTTCACAATCGTATATATAAATTTTAATGCGAGAATTTCAAAGCTTATAGTTACTCGAATAATTTTCAAAAATAATATATTTGAAGAATTCGCAGTTAAAGAACAAATGGAATAAGAAATATTTATATATATAATTTATAGAATGGCCCTTCAGTCTGCGATATAGATTTTATTTCTTTGTTATAATAAAAGCTTATAGAAAACTGTGGAATCTATAGAAAAGCCTGTGGTCGACCGACGAATATCTCCTAGTTGGCGTGCTTTATGAAGTGTGTATGATCGACCGTTCTCGATTTGGATCAAAACTGATCAGCTTCGAATTGAGTCTAGGAAACGCAGGCAATCGGCAATTCCCGCATAGCCAATGTGTCGAGAACAATAACGACGGCCAACAATCAGGTGCCACATAAACTTTTATTTCCCGCTGCGCCCATGTTTTATTTATCTTAAGAAGTTTCTTCAGCAGTAAATGCAATAATATAAATAAAATTGGAGACAAAAGTTCCTCGAGATAATTCGTTTCAAATATCTTTTTCTTTATTTCTCGTAATTATGAAGCGGACGAGACTATCGATTGTGCTGTCTACATAATAATACAGATTCTCTCAATAACAGGAAAAAATAACTATTGCGAAATTTTTCATTTTTAAACAGAGTTCTCGAAAGATTTGTCATCTCTTGTTTTTTACGTGAATTATTTGTCAAATGAAACTTGTTACTGTCGAAGTCACGCGAAAGTCTCGGGAGGCCGCATTTAGCGCTGAACGCTCGACAAAAATATACTCGTCGTCTCTGTCTATTCTCGACTTTGGCAGAAAACGAGCTGCTAAAAAAGCGCCCGAACTTCGAGAGCCAATCAGTTCCGCGAGCCACTGGCACCTTGGACGGCAAATATAATTATGTACCCTTGGGCTCTAGAAAGCCTTGTCTGTACGTGAGATCTTGGTGGCCAAATGTGGAATGGCGAATGAACAATAGCAATCATCTCCGATACATCGCCGAGTCTCTGGTTTGTCGCAGCGTCACATCTCGTTAAAAAAAATTATTTCTTAAATATTAAATTTTATTTTTTTTTCCAATAAGAAAACTTTTTTTCTAATAATACATTTTTTTAGACGTCATTTCAAAATCAGACGCTTAAGACTTTTTGCTACGTCAATTTACTTGCGAGAGAGGATAAAGTCGTTAGTTGCGTGGAATAATAATCAAACTTGCGCTTGTATCTTAAAATATCACGGAATTTCTCAACATATGATCCCGAGAATCGAGTATCTTAAAAATCTGTTTAATTCGATTCCAGGAGGTAAGACTGGAGAAATTGGAAACTTTAGTGGCTATGCAGAATCCGACAGCTTTCGAGGTTTACAACGAGACGATCCGCATGTTGAAAGCTCACTGCACACATTATGCATACTTGTTGGACACCGACAAGTACGAAAGGAAAGGCGGAACTACCAGACTCGATCGTCATCGTATAAGCTTGTGTCTCAAAAGCGTCGAGAACATTCTCGAGAGAATCAAAATCAACGGCGAACTTCCCAACAACAATTACATTAGAATCGCGATGATTCACGCGTATCAATATTTGAGAAAATTGCGAGACCTGAGCGAAGACGTGAGTCGGAGCAGTTTAAAATTTTTCTTATAAATGTCGACGTCGAGTGACACGTTAAGGGGATCCTAAACGTCCTTGAGCCCTGTTTTATCGACAAAATGAGATTAGATAAATTATAAATCTATTTATTGGCTATACAGATTGTTTTTACCTGAAATTAGAACACTTTGCAATTTGTTAATATTAATACTTTAATTTGTACAGGAAAAAGTTCTGTATAATCTCATATATCTAGGTTACAGAATTATGAATTCTTAAGAATTCAAGTAAAAAATAATCCGTATAGTCAATAAATAGATTTATAGTTGAATCTAACCTCACATTGACGATTCACGCGTATTAATATTTGAGAAAATTGCGAGACCTGAGCGAAAACGTGAGTCGGAGCAGTTTAAAATTTTCCTTATAAATGTCGACGTCGAGTGACACGTTAAGGGGATCCTAAACGTCTTTGAGTTTCAGTCCTGTTTTATCGACAAAATGTGAGGTTAGATAAACTAGGAATCTATTTATTGGCTAATTACAGCACTTCGCAATTTGTTATAATTAATACTTTAATTTGTACAGGAAAAAGATTTATCAATCTGTATAATCTCATATATCTAAGTTGCAGAATTATGAATTTTTAAGAATTCAGGTAAAAAACAATCCGTATAGCCAATAAATAGGTTTATAGTTGAACCTAACCTTACATTTTGTCGATAAAACAGGATTGAAACCTCAGACTTTTCAAGAACATTTAGGATCCCCTTAATATTCCCGTTTCAATTAGCCTCAGCACAGTCTGCCGGACGTCTTTGTCTGGATGATTGCCGGTTCTAAACGAGTCGCTTACTCGCGACTATCCGCGGAGCAGATTCTTCATTCCGAGGAGGCTGCCGAGACGGGCGCAAAGTGCGGTCGACGTGTCAGCCTGTTTCCCGGAAATCCGGACGACGAGAACGAGTACAGCGCCTGTAAAGTCGACGGCTTTCTGTGGCTCGGCAACGCGAAGTACGTCGCCGCGTGTTGGAGCGCGATTCCACCGGGATACGAGATCGATCACGGCGCGAACGTCAATACCTTCCCGAAGTATATCGAGTACAATCGGTCCTCGGTAAGCAAACGATGGCTGCGAATCTCGAGGAAGCCTTACAAAATAATGCACGATTCATCGAGCACCACATATGCCGACAATGAATGTATATAGATGAGGATCCAATTGTTCGCATTTATTGTGCTCGCAGTTCGATATTATAAAGCTATAAATGCACGCACACGCGAAAATGAAATCATAACAATAAATATATATGCGCGTTACAGACGTTCCAGTTGCGAGCTTATATATTTCAAGGTCGCTTCGAGCCTGGAATGGACGCTTCCGGCTTGATGGACTCCTTTGTACGCGTCACGTTTCAGGGATACACGTCTTCCACGCAAGTGAGTTTTAACGACAAATGACGCACAGGCGGCGTATAACGCGCGAATTTTTTCTCTCCGGTTTTTCTTTGAAGTATGTATAAACTTCTCTCGCATTCAGCGTTTTCGCAATGATTCTATTTCACACAGTCGATTGTGCATGCTCAATGTCAGCAGTTACGGTCATGATACCGTTAAATTTCTACAGCGCATATTCCTATGACATTTCACTCGAAATGCAACGAGAATGAAACGACTGATGTAATATGAGCATGATTAATGTTGCACATGCGACATATTACGTTTAGATGAAAATATCATTCTGATGTAGCGATGTGCATCTGTGTTTCGTACTCCGTTTGCATTACGTCTATGTAAACGTTTTTTGATGCTTTGCTTCATTTATGAAATATAAAAATGAAAAGTTGAGATTACGCTAGATTCACACGTGTGTCGTTATATTTCTTTCCTAAAAAAATTTATTTTAAGAAAAAAATAGAAAAATAACTACTGATATATACTTGCAGGTGATAAGACAAAGTTTAGATCCATTCTGGGATCAGATGTTAATTTTTCCCCCAGTTATTTTGCATGGAACTACAGAATACATAAAATCGGCACCACCTGAAATTGTTCTTCAAGTTTTCGATGAGGATTTGTTCGTAAGAGAAGTCAAAAAATATTTTGATATTTTTTTTTAATAAAAACGGAATCTATAGTACGTTCGTATTGAAAAAATAAAAATAGCGTAAAATGGTTGAAACTACATTTCGTTATTTACAAAACTATATCTAAAATCATTTTCAAGATAAATATTCAAAAGATTGAAACCATTTTTTAACTACATTTACATACTGAATTTAAAAAAAAAAAAACATAATACAGGGCACGAAGGAGTTCTGCGGCAAATGTATCGCGGTGCCATTAGTAAAACTCTCGTTGGAAACTTACTCGCCACCCGATTTCCCACCGAAATTAGAGTGGTACAAATTTCAGTCGCAAAAAGATTGCACCGGTTCGGTCCTCGCCGCTTTCGAGTTGATAGAAGTGAGCTATATATATATATCTCCATTTTCTCTCGCCACAAATATACACGCGGCAAATATATCCCACGCATATTCCCTTTTCTTTTTTTTCGTTGCATTATATATGTATTCCATTTGATGTTATCCTTACTTTGAGTTTTCAATCTCACGAGCACGCTTTATATATCAACACGCACGATATATTCGGCGAAATGTATTGTATTATTGCGCAGACGGAGAACAAGGAGATTTCGGATGTGAATACGCAGCCGGAGGATAAGATTTATAGGATCCCACCGGATATCAGGCCGAAAATGGCAAGCTACAGACTCGAGGTGATCTTTTGGGGTGTCCGCGACATGAGGAAGATAAAGTGTATGCCGGTACGCAGACCTAGAATTATAGTCGAGTGCGCCGGAATTCACGTCAAGTCGGAAGTGATGAAGAACGCGAAGAGATTCAGCAACTTTGAGGAACCGCATATTATGATCGAGCTGGTAATCGCACGAAATTATCTTGAAAATGTTTGATCAGCGAACTTCCCGAAGGACAGAAATGTCAAAATGATGTCAAAAAATGGTCATTTTAGTTCGAAAATGACATCAAATTCTATAAAATTTCATAATGATAAAAAATTATTTTGTATTAAAAATAATTAGAATGCAAATTTAAGATGTAAGCCGCTTAAAATAATATTTTAATCAACAATTTAGTTTTTAATACAATAACTCAATTCTTTTGCAATGATGTTTGAATATGAAAAACAAGTCTGTCCGTGCGCAATTTAATCGCGATGATAAGTTTACTACGAAAAATCTTTCGAACAAGCTATAATTATATCTTCTCGATAAAAATAGCAAATCGTTATTTTCCTTAACGGCTGTTCGCCGACGTTATCTTGATGATGTAGGATTATCAAAATCTGATTAAACAAATCCATGTGACAGCAGCAGAACCGCTCTAAAAAGCATTAATCATCTAGGAATTGCCGGAGCTCGATATTTACTATCCGAGTATTACTATAAAGGTTTACGATTCCCGCGCATTCGGCTATTTCAAATATGCAGGGATCTGTATTATCCCCAACATTCGTGTATTCCTGGAGCAATTAATAACTGTGGAGGATTACGACGCGCAAATATACGAGTCGAAATTCATGCAAAAATTCCGACTAGCGAAACAACAGACGGCGATAGTGTGTCAGTATATATTTATTATTTATCTATCAAATTTTGAAAATTGAGAGAAAATGAATAAACTTTATTTTTTATTGCATTCTACAATAAATATTTCACAAAATCGAAAGAAAAAAAATTTTTAATTATAATAAATTTAAACAAGATATTATATTATCACGTTTTTTATTAATTTTATTGTTCCATTTTATCATTCACGCGCGCATATCGTTACAAATTTTTTTCGTATTATTTTCTAAGCAAATGTTTTTTATATAATATTGATTTTTTTTTTATTTTTAAGGATAGTACCCTTACCCATCGATTATAGTCCTTTAAAAGAAGAGACCAAGGGTCTCATTGCATATAAGAGAATGGCTGGAATGGACGTCTATTCCAAGTTGAAGAGGCTATTTGTAATTATAAAGAGGATATTGAAATTCAAGTTCTTTACCAAGAGAAAAAAGGTGGAAATTTACGGAGACAGCGATGACGAGACTCTCGATTGGTGGAGTAAATATTTTGCTTCTCTTCAGGTATGTTGATTAAAGAATCGATTGAAATAAAAAAAAATTACCTTTATCCAAATTACCCTTAAAACTTATGCTTACAATTAGAAATATTCAATTCAAGAACTTTCAATATTCGAGAAACTTAATGACTTGGATGTTAAACTATTTAAATATCTAACTGCTTAGAAATGCTTAACTAGTTAACGATTTAGCAATTTAATTGCTTAGATATCTCGCTTCTTAGAGGTTTAGTAACCTTAATTGCTTAGCCCCTTAAACGTTTATCAAGTTAATGCTTAGTAATTTAGATACCTAAATATATAGCTTAACAGATTAAGCTCTTAAATGCTCAATTATTTCTCTGTACTTTGATTCTTAAAGTCTTGCATTTTTCATATGTCGCATTACGAACATTACAAACACAGAAAATAAATTTCTTAGATTTCTCAAATTTCTATATATTTGACTTCGTCATTTAAATCTTCATTTATCTAAAATTTCATCAAATTTTTATTTCTCAATTTTGCAAATCGTGTTCTCGATAAATGACCGGTTCTAACGATAATGTCATATAATACACGAATCGGTTAGGGTCAATCAACCGAGAGATCCGATAATGCAAATTAGTACGTCACGTTGGATCCGTAGGAAGAGAGAAATAGAGAATTGGGAATTACAACAACGTTTCGTCGTGAACTTATGGCAACGTTCAAGGTACGCTTTAATGAACTTGCCCGAACTCGATCACTTAGACACTGAAATCAGATCTATCCCACGGAACTAGAGATGCAGCCGCAATTCGAGGGGTTCCAGGATCGTCTAAGCACTTTCGAGTTGTGGCGCGGAAGAAGGAGCGAGAATCACTACCTGACTGAAGATAATTACGTTGGCAAATTCAAGGTTAATTAATCTACCTCTAAAAAAAAATTAGGAGTGTCGAATATCGTTCGAAACGTGTAAATTTATTAAATGTCTCGGAGAGGGAAAAGGAAAGGGCACATGTGATTTATTAATTCATATGTACTTAAACGCGAAAGTTTAACTTCCGTCAGGGACATATTTCTATATACCGATGGCCGCATCCTGACAATCTTCCGTGCAAAACGAGAAACGGAAGAGACGCGGCTAATGGTCTGTGCAACGATTATCCGCCTCAAGGGCCTGTTAAGCTGCTCGTTAGACTCTACGTCGTAAAGGGTTAGTCTTCATATTTTATCACATGCACCGAAAAAAAAAGATAAATTAAAAAGAAAGAGAAAATTACTTGAATTTCTCGAGAGGAAAATTTGCATCTAAATTACGAAATATCTATTTTTAAAAATTAGCAGCAAAAAATTTATATTAAAATTAAACTTTTAATTGATCAAAAATTTGAACCAAAAAAAAAAAAAAAAATACGTGACCTTTATCAGTCATGTATTCTCTTTATTTTATTGATTAGATTTAAAGGGTGATTTAAAGATCCCTCTCATTTTTTATGCGTGGGATTCTTTTCCCTGCTTTATATTTTTTTCAACAAACCAGATAAGCTCGTCCTCTCGGCATCAAACCAACTGTAAATTTACTTTTTGCACAGGAATCAACTTACAGCCTAAGGATCCCCTCAGCGGCAAGTCCGACCCGTATCTCTGCGTGAAGCTGGGAAAAAATTCCATCAGCGACAGGAAGAATTATATACCCAATCAATTGAACCCTACATTTGGCCGGTAAAATCCGCAAAAAAAAGCCGCTCGTAGCTTCTTTCGAAGGCGCGTCTAACAGTACAGCTTTACCCCTTTTGGGCGTTATCGGGAAATGTTTTATCGATATCCATCTGTGCATCCGTGCGTATCGGCTTTTTTGCAGCTTCAAAACTGCATGATCAGGTTTTTCAGCTACTCCACGTAACAGCGTAACGTAGATGTATCAGCGATTCACGTCTGAGTGAGATTATTCTGTCAACCAAAATCTCTGTCTTTCCTCTTTAAAGCCAAACTAAAAGGTTGAATAAATGATTTCTCAGTCTGTGCAACGAGATGATAAGCGAAATAAAAGTTAATTTAATATCTTGAAAAATATTACTAGACGCTTTAAAAGATTCTGCAGACAATTGCAAGTAAATTTTTATTTTCTTTAGCGCGATTTAAAAAATGACTTAAGGGGATGCTGCCGTTGATTTGTTTTATCGACTTTAAATTAGGTTAAGTTCACTTTTTATTGAATATACATACATAATTAATTCAAATACGAATCTTTTGATACAAGCTTTTAATCTCATTTTTATTACTTCTGTATTATTCTTTCATGTTATCTCTATTGGGAGCGCCATATTTTGTGCACAAATAAACTGCAGAACTTTTGTATTAAATAAATATTGTTATGAGCTAATGCAAGAGGCCGATAAAAAAACTGTAATTTTTTCATTTCTATTATTTTTTATACGAAATTACAACGCTCCCCGTTCATTATTATCGGCACTTTAATTGTGGAGAAGGATTTTTCAATTTGTATAGCCAATAAAAAGAAAAGCCCTTGAACTCAAAGTCGGTAAAACAGTGATGTTCAGCATCCTCTTAATTTTAATTCAAGTACGAATCTTTTGGTACAGGCTTTTAATCTCATTTTTATTACTTCTGTATTATTCTTTCATGTCATCTTTATTGGGAGCGCCATATTTTGTGCACAAATAAACTGCAGAACTTTTGTATTAAATAAGTATTGTTATGAGCTGATGCAAGAGGCCGATAAAAAACCTGTAATTTTTTATTATTTTTCTATTATTTTTTATACGAAATTACAGCGCTCCCTGTTCATTATTATCGGTACTTTAATTGTGGAGAAGGATTTTTCAATCTGTATAGCCAATAAAGAGAAAAGCCCTTGAACTCAGTCGGTAAAACAGTGATGTTCAGCATCCCCTTAAAGTCACTATTATCTGACAGCGTGTTCGAGTTCGAGGCAAGCTTTCCTCAGGATTATTTGCTGGAGATCCAAGTGTGGGACTTTGACGCCACGACAGCCGACGATCTGATTGGCGAGACGCGAATCGATATCGAAAATCGATTTTACAGCAGGCATCGGGCCCATTGTGGAATCGCGAATGTTTACAGCACCGCCGGTTACAATGTCTGGAGGGATCGCGAGAGACCGACGCAGATTTTGGAGCTTCTCTGCAGAAGAAACAATCTACCGTCACCGGAATACGGCGAACGGGAAGTTAAAATCGGCATAAAGACATTTCCCTTTCACGCCGTGATCGAACGCAAAGAAGAGATTGGTACGTAATTTATATTTCATCGCTCGAGAATTTTCTGGATGTAATTATTAAATTACATTACCGCAGTTTATATACATTGTGAAATATGTAAGCAGTATAATTAAAATGTGAAACTCGAGTAAATAATGATCTCGTAAGTAATTAAGGAGCATCCTCGTTAAAAGATTTTTTCTCTGTATTTTCAAGTGTTTATTATTTTTCTTTGTTTTTCTTGAAAAATAATGTTCTAAAAAACATTTAATGAGATTTAAATAAATACGAATAATCGTACAAAGATATTTTGAGAATAAAGATAGACAGATTTTTTCTTCTGCTTGACACACTTCACGAGTCTAAGGAAAATGAACGAGTTTCTGCTAAACACTCGATCGTACACCGACAGACAGAGAAGAATGCATGGCTCTGAACGTACTTCACTCTTGGCAAGATTTTCCTATCTGCGGATGCGCTTTAGTGCCGGAACACGTCGAGAGACGGCCGCTTTTCAACGCAAAGAGGCCCGGTCTCGAACAGGTAACGTGTTCAAATACGTCAGCTCATCGCGAAGAGTAACTTTCGTTCTTCGGGAAAAAACGTGACTCTCATACAAACGTTCTCTCTTCGCGGGAGAAAGCTCACTTTATATATCTTAATTACTTTGCGCGCTTTTGTCAGGTGAGCTATAGTCTCCGGATCGAATTGGAAAAAAAACTTTTTGTTTTGACATGTAATTTGCGAAACGTCAATTTTGGCCGAAACAAAAAAAAAAGAAAAAAACGCGGTTACAATATTTTCCACTCCCGAAATACGTATATATATATGTATATACGTATATATAATACAATGTGCATATACAGACGAGATATTTTAGGGCAAACTCGAAATGTGGATCGATATGTTTCGCATCGGACAATTGCCGCCAAAACCGGCGGTCAGCATCGCACCTCCGACACCGGAGGAATATGAAATTCGCGTGATCATTTGGAATACCGAGGACGTGCCGCTGGTCGAAAGCCAATTTCTCACCGGGGAGAAATGCTCCGACATTTACGTCAAGGGGTACGTCATAGTGAATATATAAGAGCGAGAGAAATATGTGTTTTCCCTACACGAAATTGCACGACAATTCGAAAAATATGATGTAATAGCGCAATTAAATTCGCTCGATTCAAATTGATGATGACATGCCAATAATATACCTATATCATTTATTTGGTTTTTCGCCTCTGACATTATAAATCTAATATATCACCGGTAACTTGACTTTCAATCAAATTTTTTAAATATTCAACTCTAATAATTAAAATGGTACAATCGATCAATTAATTCGCCGGATTAGAAAACCCTGTCGCGAAATACTTGATAAAATTGTTTAGATGGATTTTGTACGAGGATTATCAGAGAACGGATATTCATTATAATTCTCTAACCGGCGAGGGTAACTTTAATTGGAGATTCGTGTTTCGTGTCACATATTCAAAGGGCGAGAATGTCATGATAGTTCGTAGAAGAATGTCGGTCTTTGCTAGAAACGAGACCGAGGATAAGTTGCCTTGTAAGCTTCATTTGCAAGTCTGGGACAGCGATCATTTTTCTTCGGACGACTTTCTAGGTGATTAAAGCTTATCAATGTCTTTCATAATAGAACCGTTTAAAAAAATTGTCGACATGCGATACAGAACGTGCATATTTTGTTTTTTTTTTATGTCTGATACAATTAATCGCTAGTTTAATTACTTTTCAATTATACTTTTAATACGTATTGCATGCACATGTAAATTCGCAATTTACTTCTAAATTTAAAGAATTTAAGAGTTTAAATTTTTTAATATACAGGAAGCTCTGTATTTTCGAAACGGAAAACATTTACTTGAAAAATATAATATCACGAGAATATGTTATCAAGTTTCAATTAATCAATGTAATTCACGATGTGCCCTGTAATTGTTTTTGAACAGTATATAAATGTAATTCCGCAATTTGCATCAAAATTTAAAAAAATAAGAGTTTAAATTTTTTAACACAGGAAATTGTGTTTTTAAAACTAAAAATATATATTTGAAAAATAGAATATCAAGTTATATAATTAATCAATGTAATTTACGATATGTCCTGTTTTTTTAGCAATATACATATAAATGTAATTTCGCAATTTGCATCAAAATTTAAAAAAATTCAGGAGTTGAAATTGGAAAACTGTGTTTCCGAAATAGAAAACATACATTTGGAAAATGTAATATCAAGAATATAATTAATTAATGTAATTTACGATATGTACTATAATCATAACGCTCTTCTAAACTAATCAACTTGTTGCAGGAGAGTTGACGCTCGACTTGTCCAGAATGCCGCGAGGCAGCTCAAACTCCAAAAACTGTACGATGAAATTACTTGAACCGCAATTACCAACCATGAATTTATTCAAAGTTATGCGAACTAAAGCATGGTGGCCATTCGCTCGCAGTATCAACAGCGGAAAATATATTCAAGCGGTAAATAAATGCTATAAATAAATAAACGGGAACGACAGTTTTTTTTTCGTAAAACTATGAGATATATATATAATTATAAAAAATAATTGAATAAAAAATTAAAACAAGATTACTAAACAAATGTTTATTGTAGGGGAAAGTTGAGCTGGAAATATCTATTTTGCGAGCAATGGATGCGGATAATCAACAGGCAGGCAAAGGAAGAGATCCGCCTCAGAATCTTCCGTCTCCAAGGTTTATTTTCTTTCAATTTAATTTTATTATTATAACGCACTTGTCCCATTTTAATTTGCAAATGCAAGAATAACAGATTGATTTGATAAGAATATTTTTAAATTATATATATTTTGGACAAACGGCTAAGCATTTGCTTAAATGTATTTAAATCGTCTAAGAAATGATAAAATAATGATAATTATATATTATTATATTTTCATTTTATTTATGCAATGGATAATTAATTACTATTAAAAAAAGAAAAATTAATTAAAGAAAGAAAAACTATTAAACTTATTAAAAAGAGAAAGAAATTTTTTTTTCAGATCTCGTTAGCATTGTTATTTAAATATAATTTCTAATCTTCCGTTTCAATGAAGAAAAATGCTTTTTAATATTATATAATAATTTATTAATTATATATATATATATATATATATATATGTTATATATATATATATATATATATATATATAATATAATTAATATATGTATATATATATATAATATATAATTAAATATATCAAATATAATTTGTTACATATTTTTTCAGGCGACCTGACACCTCTTTCTCTTGGTTTCGGAATCCATGGAGAGCATGCTGCTTCGTCGTTTGTCGGTATTATAAATGGCGAATAGTATGCTGCTTTGTATGCACGCTACTCGTGCTTTTAGTAGCATGTGGGATTTATGCTTTCCCTGGATATTTTGTTAAGCGTCTTTTAGGCGCTTAAATCCTCGATCATATATACGTTATTTAACAGAATATCTACGTTTGAATCAGTTATATTTAACAAACTTGCAAACCTCGCATTATTATAAAATAATCGATAAAAAATATTTTATTTCTTTCTATTCTTTAATCTCTCTTCATATCAAGAATAATAATTAATATTATATTAATATTATAATATATTTATATAATATTATAAATAATATTATAATCATATTATAAATAGTATTATAAATATATTATAATATTATAATATATTTATAATATTATAATATATTAATATTATAATATATTAATATTATAATATATTTATAATATTATAATATATTAATATTATAATATATTTCAAGAGAAATGTCAGCAAACATCTATTATATAAAATATACATCTAATAATATAAAATATATCGAAAGCTTCTAAAAATAATAAATTAAACTTACTTGGTTTATCAATATAAAATTGCTCGCTTCCAAGAATTTCCCTCGATGCACTGCAACACAAATACATTTGCAATTTACTATTATAAATATTGAGTTTCAATTTCGCGCTTGACATGTCGCGCTCCCTCTCTCCTTTCCTTTCCTAATAAAATAAATAATAAATCAATTATTTACCATGTACTTGTCCCGTCGTTGCCCGATGCCGCCTCCTCTCAGAGAAGCTTTAAAACACTCGCACTCCGGTTTTTTTTTATTTCGTCGCGACGCCCGAATTTTTAGCTGTCACATTTTCGACGCGTTCGATAAAACTCGAAAAACGCGGGAAAAACCCGAAGCTCCGTTTTTGCGTCGCCATTTTTTCAAGGCCCCTTATCGACGATGACGTCCTCGCGACGCACCAGGAGTCGCCGATATTCCCGAATTGTCAGCCAAAAATCTTCGGAAATTCGGTATGTCCTTATATACATATATATATATGTTATATATAAAATATGCTTGTTTTATTTTTAAAGTGTTTAAAATTATTTAGGCCGGCACAGAGGTTGGTTTCCTGCAGGAAAAGTAGTGTACGCCGAGACCGGAGAAGAGAATCGTCAAAATGTGAGTAGAATTATTTTATTCTTTATTTATTGATAAAGCGATAGAAAAAAATGCATGTAAATATTGACCGGATATTGTGTCAAGATAAACATAGAACATTTACGTAATTCGTGTTTCACAGACAAAAAATACCACTATATTATAAAGTTTTGACAAAATCAAACAAGACAGAGCTCTCCTTATTCATCAAAATTACTAATTAGTAGTCATTAAAATTATATCGCTCTCTTTCGATGTGAATGACAATAAAAACTCCGCGTTACACTAGATTCATTTTCTTATATAAACAGCTGATTTTATTCACCCTTTAAATATATTTTTTTAATTAAATACGTCTCGCTCTTCTCTTTTCCGCGCAATGTCACAAGTTATCTTCCGTTTTCATTCTAGAGGATAAAATTATATAATAGTATATAATAAAAATTTATATTGCTCCTTTATTCAACACAAATGTAAACTGGTAAATAACACAATTTATAAATTACCCGCTAATTATGCGGTGCCAAGAACGCAGCGGTCGAGGGCTCGCTTCCAAGATCTCTCTATTCTTTTTCCACCCTCGTCGTTTCTACGCACTCGTGAAAATACAATAATTCATCTTCTTTCGCGACGACGCACATGGCACTGTAATATACGGACACATTCGGAATACGATTGCAAACAGCTCTATAAATAGGTACATGTATGCAGATTACTCTCACCTTTTGGAATGTTTTGTTTTCATTTCGCGCTTGTATGTATACGTCATGTTCTTCCCTGCGATTTGCCGCTGGCGTCTTGGTTTAAGATTCTTCTCCCTTTGACGGACCACGCGAGAAATTATTTAAATCGAAATTTCATTCGCGGAATAAAATTATTATTATTATTTAACCAGAAGTATGTGTTGCGCGCTTTCACGATAGATTGTTATAAACGATATACGGTCGATTATCTTTTCCTCTAACTCGAGTAAACTTAAACGAGATAATATGAAATAAGATAAATAATTAGATAAAATTATTATTACTGATCAAAAGGTACGTTTATGTCGCGCACTCTCGCGATGCGTACACAGTTGAAAAATTTGTGTGAAATTTGACAGATATCTCACGTGTTTCAAATGGTCCACAGAAATTTTTGTGTTAATTTAACATGATATGAATATTATGGGTTAAATGGAGACATAAATACTTAATGTTAATATTTTAACAAAATAAATGCAAAACTTCAAATAATTTAAAATAAATTTTGTGTAAAATTAACATAGAGTTTTAATGTACAAATTAACTAAAAATATGTTAATTTTAGATTTTATCATCCTCACTTATATCATAAAATCAATATTTACTATATTAAATAATCTTCATTTTTTATATTTTTATATTAAAAAATCAACATTTTTTTCTGCAAATGTTAACAGATCAATCTTGTCGCTAATAAATCAGAAAATATTTATTGTGTGAAATTAAAAATAGATGCACATTCTATTATTTTTACATCTTTTTTCAGTAGTTTTACTAATTTAACATTTAACCAGGGTTGGGTGAGTTAATGATTTTTTAAAACTATAGTTATTAACTTTTCAACTTTTTTTATTAATAATAATATAAATATGATATTTTTAAATCGGCCAACAGATAATAATATTTCTTATCAGATTTTTTAATTAACTAGTTATTACTCCAACCTTTAACACATACGAATGTGTTAAATAAAATATTTATATGAAATTAACAGAAAAATTGTCACGGGGACCGTTTTGAAGGACCAAACACAGATTTTTGTGCAAAAAGTGACAGACGATACGTCACGGTCGATTCTTTTCCTCGAGAGCTCCGGTAAACAGCTTAGTCTCTACGTCATCCCTACCTCCGTGGAATGTGTTGTGTTTTGATCTCGCTCTTACCCCTACCCTTTTGCCGCGCGACGCGCGACGTAACGAGTGAAGTTGCCGCTCGCCGTGTAGTCAGAATGTGACCGCGTTACGGTGATGTGCGTCGCGCGCCTAAACGAAGGAATGTCGCGCGCGCTTCGTCCGTTCGTATCGTGTGATAAGTGCTAAATTATTGCCCGTGCGACGCGTGCCGCGGGTATGTGTGTGTGTGTGTGAGAGAAAGAGAGAGAGACGAACTCGGAGCAGACATCGTATTTCGTTGACAAGCACGTGCGATTTTCCAATTTATACCCGGTGTTTTCTCTTCTACTCACCCTCTCGCTTCCGGCTCGATCGACGAGAATGAAAGAAAGCGCTGTTCGATCCGATGCTGGGAAGCAGCCAACGGCGGTGCATTGATCGGTGAGTTGTGACAATTGATTTGTTTTCTCGTCATTGCTCGAATTATTCGTCGCTCGTACCGTTTTGCGATGATTCAACAATGTCTTGTGTCAATATTTATACTTTTACGTTCGCGAGAGAGAAATGTTCGTCTCTTTTTTGCTTTGCGGAAATAACGGAGGATATAGGAAGCCCGCGCGAATTTGAATACAATGCACGAAAAATTGCATTCTTTAATCATTGATGAGTCGAGCAAAAATTCCCGTCTCACATTTAATGTGCCGCATATTTGTATTATAATTAAAAGGCTAAAAGAGATAAATAAATGTGTAATTGAATTTCAAATATAATAATTAAACAGAATAATTTAAATAAATGATAGGACATGTTTGTGTTCATGTTTTATGTAATAGGATATCGTAATTAAAAAGGCTATCTCTGTTTTTGCGTTTCTCTCAGCAACACAGTCGTGATTCTGTTATCAATATTATATATTAATTATAATATGACTGTTTATGTTTAACGCTTTGACGAGTAAAAATGAAAACATAAAAGGCGCGTTTGTTTAAAAATTACGCAACATATCGCGTTTTAATTCTCAATCCAAATTATTATACGCAAAATGTGTCACTCTCAGCGCGAAACGCTGGCTCTCATCGTTAAGTAATCGTTTTCTGATACCATAAAGTTTGAATTTGCAGCTGCGGTGCATCTCGTAATATCACGTGACGTTGCATGGTCGAAGCAGGGTATATATATATATATGTACGTACATATGTAAACGTAAATAGACGATCAGAAATGCGTTCTTGCGAAGCGCGCGTTGCACTCGTACATATCGTAAAGTATCGAAATTCCGAAACGACGGGCATCCTATTATTAATTGCCCAGCGCTATCCTAATTAGCGTCGCGGTTCACCAGATCGATTTGTATCTATGCGCGCGAGTGAACGGGTCGATGATGGGGTCAGACGGACAGAATTAAACGACAGCGGCGCATCGATCAGTGAGTAAATTCACTCGTTCCGTATGCAATGTGTTTGCGCATAATTATTATTTATTTCATTTGCTTACGACTTCATCGTACACGTAAAGTCTTATCGTCGTCTTTATATAAAAGATAAAAAGGCACGCAAAAGTTATATTTTTAATAATTATTATATGCATATAATATATGCTTGTTATATAATTTAGTTTCAAATATTATAATAATTAAATTGGAATATTGAAATAAATGATATGGGACATATTAATGGTAGGACATTGTTGTTGTTTTATGTAACAGAATATTTATGTAACGCGAATAACGATTATTGTTAAAGAAAGAGATGCTGATATTATTTATTTTTATATTACAATACTAACGAAACACTGACAGACGCTATGATTCACAAATAATATTTGCGCGGATAATTGTTTGTTTATTTACGACCAAATGCTTGACGATGGAAATCTAGAGAGATATGTAATATTAATATTCAGAATAAATAAGTATAAACATATTTTTAATTATTTATAAAATTATGTGCTTAAAAATGAGAATCTAAATAAATTTTATATATTTATAATTTAGAAAATACGATATAATATATTTGTAACGTATATAAATATGTATTTTTTTTCATAAAACATGAAATATCTCAATTATAATTAAAATTGCAAAATCAAGCGAATAATAATTTCGAATTATTTGAGACAATTTTAATGGAATGTAACAAAACATATAGTATTTCATTAAATTTTTCTATAAACTGTTAACATTTATTTATCATTTTTTTAATTATGAATTATTTGCATGGCAAACAAAGAAATATTGTTTTATTATTTCTTGATAATAAAATTTTTATTTTCTTATATAACAACGTTTTCATGTTTCACATTATTCGTCACGTTTACATAGAAAAATATTGCATCAAAATTTTAAATTTTATAATATCATATTAATTCTTATTTTTATAGCTTCAATTCATCTTAAATTTATCTTAAAATCTTTTTGTTCTGTATCGCGTTTACTTTAGTGTTTCTATAAGAAATGCTTCAATTATATCATAAATTGATGTTAATGACGCGATTATCACTGCATATCTTCCTTATTGCTATGTTATTGCGATTTTCAGTCATGATTGGCATGCGATGTTACAGAATGATTAAATTCCATTTCATGCATTACATAATTAGTTAGTTTACGATGAATTGCGCGTATTCCTTTCCTTCTAAGTAATGCAAACAATGTCTGTCGAGACATTTGCAAGAAATGAAATGCATTCGTACTGTGCAGCAAAATGTTACACATTACGCCTTCGCGTGTCTCGTTACTAATTAATGCGCCGCCGATCGATAACAATAATAGATTAACCGCGATATCACAATACGATGGATGTCATTCCGACGTTTAACAATGATAAATAAATTTGAGATAAATTTATCCAGAGCATAATTGTTGCGGAAAAATCATATAAGTTTTATGAAAATTAAAATAAAATCGTGATATATTTACTTTCCTTTCGAATATCTCTATAATATTAATAGTTAAGTACTACTAAATTAGGAATTATTATTCGCATGACTGATGCAGGTGCAGTTTCACAAGGATATACGTTAGCTTGTTATTTTGAACTGTATATTATATATTGTATTTAACAAATTAATTTTCATACATGCTAATTAACTAAAGAGTTACCTAATTGTATTATTACCTTGATTATACGTTTCTCTCTCTCTTTCTTTCTCTCTATGACTGAGACTGAGAGATCTCACGCGATCTCATGTATTTTTATAAATTAAGAGCCTTTTGTAATAACTTTCTATAAAATTAAATAAATTAATGTGTGTTCCTTTCCATACTTAAATGAGAGATACGCAAAAACAGACAAATGACAGATCTAACAAAAAATTGATTTCAATTTGTCTAATGCACAGATAAAAAAGGCACGTGCAGAGAATTTAGGTTACTTTATAGAAGTACAATTCTTATTTAAATGTATTATTCTCCAACAGAGATCATTAAATTAATTATTAAAGCAAGATATATTATTCCCATGATTCTTTTCGAAAAGCTTGAAAAGATTCTATAAAATAAAGTTAGGAAAAATACATATACACAATTAGAGAAAGATATTTTTAAAATATTTAATTATTAAAAATCTTAATAAATTAGAAGAATTGGATGTAAATAATTTAGTTTGAATATATTAACTTTTTAATTTATTTTAAAAGAATATGTATAATTATTCAATTATTATATAATTATTCAATTTTTAACAGAATATTTTGCGAGCTATTAATTTTTTTTAATGATCTTGTTTCATTAATTATAACATGTTTTAAAGTAAATTGCTATTATATATTATTACTTAAATGAGGCACGGGTAAAAAATTAATTAGAGAAAATTAATTAAAAAAGAGTATATTAAAACTTTAATGGAAACGAAAATTTTGTAGACAATCATGCGAGAATCAAGCATTTTAATGTAGAATGGCATTCCTTGTCCTATTTCGCATGATTCTAACAACCTTCCTCCAATTATGTCTAAAAGTGAGATGTGTCATCTCTCTTATGTTAAAACTACCGTCCTAATTTTATTCCACTATCAATTTTTTATGCCTTATGAAAAATTAAATAAAATGAACTCTCTTGCCTTCTCTCTTTTGCATCATTTCGTTTGATTGGCAGTTGAATGAGTGATGTGGCGGTAACAGAGATCGATAACATCTCTCTACATCAATTTGATTGTACTCCATTTTGCTCGGCCTAAATACTGCTTAGTACTTCGTGAGATTTTAGTATTCGCGATTTTTCTGTAAAAAATATTTCCGAATTAAATGTTCTTAATTTTCGGTACGAAACGTTCTTTCGAACGGCGCGGCAAGCTATTTATAGAAAACGTTGTAACGTCAATCAATTTTGTATAACCCATGTCCTACGTCAATGTTTGCCGTTGTCCTAGCAATAATTGCCTGATGGAATTTAATCGCGACACGTAGACGATTCAACCCTTTAATTTTCAATAGAGCTGTGCTGTCATATTTACCATGATTATTGGAGTGAAATTTTCTTCGATTATGATCATATAATTCTGTAAACGTAGTTTTGAAGCAATAGAAATATTGATTTGTTGAAGTAAAATTCAGTCTGAAGTTAAATAAAAATAAAATTATAGAAAATATAAGAAATTTTTTTTTGCTCGTTTAGTTGACCTACTATATTTGATTTTTTTAATTGTGTAAATTTTTTTTTATTTAATCACATAATTATATAATGTAAATTTATTTGAAACGTTAGAATTATAATGCCATTAATAGAAATTAATTTCAAATTACAAAAGATCGAAAGGAAGCAATATCTTATTGGGATATTTTATGTTCGCTTTTACATGTCGGATTAAATTGCAAAGTTTAATTAAAACGCACTTGTATTTGCATTATTTAATTTTATAGAGTAATGGATATAATTAAAAATCTCATCTCGTGATAAATAATTGATCAAGCATCGAATTTCAATAGGTATCAATATGGAACACTGTTTGTAATGAATAATTATAATGAAATAATAAGATACACTACATGATGAGTAATTAACCGGCATTCAAATTAACTAAATTTATCAAGATTTTAAGATACGCATATAAATTATAATTTAATGCAATGATTTAATTAATTAAACAACTTGCTGTGTATAACATACACACACACACACAGTAGCACACACTGTGCTCCCTTCTGACAATTTGAAATACATTGCATCTTATCGTTATGCAAATATTTGTTAATAAAATAGTTATCAGAGATCAGATTGTAATGTCGAATATTGTTTTTGGAATAACAAAACGACGTACAAGGCTTTTGCGATTAATTAACAAGCATCGTTATTATATATATATACGTATACAGGGTGTAACTAAATAAAGGTGTACGAAGCACACGATTAGATGCAGAAGGACAAACTAAATTGAAAAGTCCTGAGTCATTTTTTAATCTGAGCTATATTTTTGACGCTATAAATTGTTAAAATTGGCCAATTAGCGCGTGGAAAACAGTGTAGGCCTCGCCTTAATAGGCGCACTGAGGCCTATTAAGGCGGGGCCTACGCTGTTTTCCGTTGTAGCCACGCACTAA